ATTAACTCCCTTCTAACAATAGTGTAACTCAGTTATAAACCTGTTGTTACATCAACAAAACTACAAGTAATGGCCTTTGTCATGGGGCTTCAGAGGCAGAGGTTAAAAATGTGTATAGCTCATGTTTGAGGAGGGTGGTTTCTTGGTAGCAGTGGAGTTATTGTTGTGTTATACACTGGGTACAGAATTTCAATCTGCACACATTGCCTCCCTTTTTGGGGTGGTTGTAGAGGCTATTGGCCCAAAAATGAGGCCAAGGGGACAGCATAAACACAGTTCCAATAGATATTATGACAAAAAGGCCAAGATATTAATCTTGGAAGCAACTTCCCAAAGGTCCCAATCTGGCTCTGGAAAAACCAAGAGGATTTGAGTCTGACAAATCCAATGCTTTATACCCCCAAAGCAGAGCTAAATTGGGTTGCGCTCTGGGAAGTATGGCAGAAACTAAAAGGAAAGGACAACAGTGTCATCATACAATTTTTGAATTTTACCACCCTTGTGAACTTTTGTGTTATTGCGGACTAGAATCAAATTGTGATTAGGGTATGGGTTCTTTCAAGGGAGCCATGGAAGAATAAATTAAAGTACCTTACAAACAAGCAGAAGAGAGATCAAAGGGATGTGGACTCATGAGATCATATTCCAAAGTATTCCCATTTTTTTTTGGTTGAACATGTTGAATAGTACAGTCATGGCAATAATACCATCAATCCCAATAGCTGGAAGGGGATTGAGTTGGTTTGAGTCTTGCTTGACAATAGTGCGAGCAGCAGGAGATCCACAAAGTGGACATGCATGATGGGGTCCTGGTTACAAATGGCTGTCTTGTCTTGCAGATCCGGCAGTTACATAACTATTCAGTAAGAGAAATATGCATGGAGAAGAGAGAAATAAAAAATTGCTAGTGCAAACTAAGAACTCCACTGGAATGAATGCTTGTGGATGTTGATAGTGTCTGGGTTTTTGAGTGTGATTGAGAGCCACTTGACCAGATTGTTGTGAACAGTTTCAACACTTAAGAGGGTCCTGTGGGCATCACACAACCATTCCCAGATCTTGTCCAAAAAATTCCCTGACTCACTTCGAACTTGTTATGAGGACAAAAATGAATTGCGAGAGAGGCGCTATAACTTGTCAACGTCCCTTGGGTTGCCCCAGTGGTCAATATGGGGGTCGAACCCATGACATCCGCATTACTGCATGAGACATATTATTAGTACGGCGCTCTAACCAACTGAGCTAATCGACCGGGGGTGCTCGGATCGGCAGAAAAAAACTTCCAAGTCAGATTGCCGCCCCGCCACGCTTTCAAGCTGCTCATGGCCGTGCTCATGGCCGTGCTCATGGGTTCTGAGGTGCTCCTAGCTCATCAGATATGGCTGCATCAGACAAAGGCGCGATAGCAGCGGAGTTACAGCTGGGCGGCAAGCTCAGAGTCCGGAGATCACCGAATGGGAACTATTGAAGTTTGATGTTTCGGTGTTTCAATTGCCGTTTCCGGGACCACGGCAGAGGTACAACGTCGCATAATGCTTCACGCCAGACGACCTCGCCAGAGTAGGGAGGTATGGTAGCTGGGCCACAATGCTGCACGATCCAGGCAGACTCACCACCCGCATCCTCCAGCAGCCCCGAACAAGGCCCAGCTGGCTCTCCTGTTCCTGTTCTTCGTCGCGATGATCACTTTCCTCCTCCGGGGGGACTTAGTTAAGTTGGCAATCTGCGCCCTTGCATCCACATACACAGTCCATCTGGCATGAGACCGACATCCTCGGGCGGCCGTTCCCGCTCGGTTACCCCCCTCAGGTTCTTGTTGGTACATGTAGGTAATATGTACATAATCCTCGACTGCGTACACTGTCACACTTTTCTTGTAGATAGTATTTATCCAGCTTTGATCATAGCAATTATCAATTCTGTCCAGCATCACTCTTCAGCAGGTTATGAGCCTCTCGCTAAAGTAGCTCGGCCACTCATTGGTTCAAAAACCCAACGTACTCGGCGCCGACGAGTTTTCTTCTTCAAAAATTCATTTATCTCAAACACTGTGTCTGCTGTCATCCAAACCACCTTTAAGTTCGCGGCGATTACTTTGCTCGTGTAGCTGATCCCCCTAAGCTAATTGTTAGGACATGGGTAGCTTATACCCAGGACCTATAGTAGGTCGACTATGGCACAGCGTATGCTTGTATATAGTAGATATATTTCCCGAGACATGTGGAAAACAACAACCATCTCACGCAAACCTGTGTCCTGTCACAAGGACAGGTTACACAGTCCTGTTGTGTGAACATGACCGGCGGGTCCTGTTACAGAATAAGTCATCCCCTCTGGTTTATCAACTGTAAGTATCCCACCACCTGTCACCCATCATCTGCACATGGAAATACATAATCTCACAAAACCACACAAGTCATAATGGATACACCACTAACTACATAAGACATATCAAAATAACCATGCAAGCTCAAGAACATCACACCACATCACGTGTTGGCATGAATATTCATCAATTCAGCCAGTGAGTTATGCATATGTACATAGCAACCTATCTACATGCCAATGCATATCTATGTAAATGAAAATCTCATCCAGTGTTATCAAGCACTTTGAGGACAAGTGCACCGGTGCACAAGTGACACATCACATGTTTGATTGGTAATGTTCATACATATGTATAGTGGTCTGTATACAAGAATACATCCCCAGACCTGACTACATTGTAGTTAAACCTGATTACCAATCCACCACTTTCCATTTTCTCTACACCACATCAATCCACCGCTGTGGCATTCCGTTTGCATTACAACGCCAAAAGCACATGACAGAGGTATTGTGAGAAGATGAGTGCATGCACAAGACATTCTTTACAAGAGGAGGAAGTGTTATCATGGCGGGGCTAGGATATATAT